GGTGATTTTGATGGGCCATTTCTCCACAGCGAGAAATTACCTCTAACGGTCTCAGGCTCTCTCAACACAAGGTCAAAATAGCGTTCCGCGGTAAACGTAGTAAAAGTCCAGAATTACGCGGAAAGAACAGCACAGTCATAGCGAAAGCTAGAAGAGCGGCATTTCTAGAAACCGTTGTAAACCCTCTTGCGGCTATTAATACAAGTACGCTTGTATGGTATCCACTACGCCATGTATCATGATTTCTGTGAAATTCGGAAGAAGCTAAGACGCCCTTATATGTCATTATGCGGGGAAATGAAGTTGCCGCTACGCATTTGCAAGGTATTGTGTGCATTTTGTTGATGCGGTGTGTAATGACGACGAAGAATTATGGCTGAGCTTTTTGAAATAGTTTGGAAGCATTCAACGAACCACTTGTTAAGCAAATAAGACTGTGTGATGCCTGGTTACACAATTAGGATTATGTGGCGCCTGGTTATTACTTATTCTTTTACAACGGTATATTACACGGGCTAACGTAGTTCCTTCGCGACATGTGGCCTGTCTAGATTTTTTTTTTTGCCAAAAAATTTTGAGCACGGGTATTGCTCTGTGGTAGAATACTGGGCCACCACGGAGAAGGCCTAAGTTCGAACGCCTTTCTATTCTCAATATTATTTAGCGCGATAGGGCGGTTACGGACAGCGGCGCGGGCAGACAACTACGGCACTAGAAACAACTTTTGTGAGTTTAACAACTTTTGCTGCAAAATGTAGGATATTAAGCTCTTTCATTTAGCTCTCACCATTGCGTGACATACCAAATTGGAACATATGAAACCTCAGCTGAGACGTATACTTGAACGAGTTGGTTCATTAGCGCTGTGTTCGTGTGTCTCCCAGACTGTTCTGTCATTTTGCGCTGTCAAAATCTTTGATACATACACCATCCCTACACGTCATACAGAAGGGAGATTTTAATTTGCACTTCAAGAGGGGCGATCCTTCGAAATCTTCTCAGCGAACGGCTAAGTCCATAAACTGAAGGCACCGTCTCGGCGACATTGAATGATTCGCAAGCTCCCATAAAATGTGACACCGTTAAGTTGTGAAGCACGAGCATGTCTAGTAAACATACTCTAGAGAGCTAAAATCTCCATTCCACTTTTTCTTAAAATGAACCGAAAATATCAACTGGTGCAGCGAAATGGTATCAAGGTAATTCTGAATGTTTTTGGCTCGCATACAAGCACGTGCCTCTGCGTTTCGAACAATTTCTTAATCGCATCAACGTGTTGGCACATTTGTGTAGCAGACAATGTCTAAAAGAATATAACTGAAGCGGGAAAACTGTCCACCGTCTGGATTTATTTTTCAAATTTGTTGTTGTTGTTTCATTCACTACCAACCGCACAGGATTCCAAGTGTCGGAATACGTGATGGGCGAAAGCTAGTGGTATGCGTTGGCTTTCCGTGGCGGCAAAATAGTTCTGAAGTGCAACACGCCTTTTCCGGCTGAAAGGCATACATTCGGCACAACTCCCACACAGTCAGGGAAACAACGGTGCACTCTGGCATCTTCGCTTAAGGCAACGTCACGAAAGAAACAGGATCCCACGCATGCACGAGATCCCACGCGGTTGTCTCCCCGCGCCAAGCGAAATGACGTCAGTAAAGGAAGTCTGCGACCACGGCTGCTGTTTCTGAATATTCTAACAAAAAAAAAGACTATAGGTAATTGTAGAATAACCAAGCTGTTGACGTATTGATTGTCACTACATAAGTAATCTACTCATTATATCATACTACACAAGTACATGGTAAAAAAAAAAGCTCATGCAATCTCTCGTGCATTCGCCATAAAACACTCGAAGGCTGAAACCATCCTTTTGTGTGATGGCTTAGGGTGATGGCGTCATGGTGTAACGTCGTAGTGACGTCACAAATTTTGTTGTCAGATTGCGTCACATAGTGACGTCATCAAGGTTTAATCACTGATCACGTTGCTTATTGCATCGTTCTCGATGACGCTGGCGCCACCGACAGTCACTTTTCACGTTTGATAGATTGATATGCGGTGTTTAACGTCTCAAAGCCAGCATATGATTATGAGAGACGCCGTAGTGGAGGCCTCCAGAAATTTCGACCACCTGCTCTTCTTTAAAGTGCATCTAAATCTGACCACACGGACCTTTCGCGTTTCATGAAGCGTCCAAGGCTTTCACCTTAATAGCTCATTATATCGTAAGGCGACACAATCAAGTAGAGCATGCATTTGAAGCCGAAAACTATAGGTTGCGCAGAAGGCGGGTCCCGGGCAAATTGCGCAGCCATAAATTCTATTGAGCTGTCGTAAGATGTCTTCACTGCATACAGTATTAGTTGAAAGAAAAAATAAATAGCGAAGGGTGCACTTGAAGAAAGTTGAGTTGGGAAGCACGCATACTTTAATGGCTCGATTTAGTAGTATGAACATACTGATTACTACAAGTCCACGGAAGTAAAACAACCAACGCCCATAGGGAACACTATTAGTGGTCGAATATATCGTTCACGCAAGGCGCGTCTGATGTCTCCGATACACGCAGGAAGAAAGTGGCGGAAAGAACATTAAATTTCATAATATAACAGTACGATTATGGTAATTAGCACGTATATAAACAATACCATGATGTGACTGACACTTACACTCCGTCCGTGCGTTTCTTGCAGCGTGTGTCAGTATACTCAAACAGCGCAGCACTGTGCTCAATTCACTAAGCACTTACCAGTCTATATACAAACCGCTGAAAAGCTCTGAAAAATGACCCTGCCATGGTTCCATGATTAATACCTTTTCTTGGGAATATATAATCAATCATGCCCTCAAAAAGTTCCATTAGCTATAGCTATAGAAACGTTTGCGTCTGTCGTGCATTGATAATAAACATCGATTTCATTGGTAGGCTTTGCTGTAAGTGCACACATTGCCCTTAAAAGCTTAAAAGCAGTGCTACTTAACTACGACGATTATGTGAATACTATGTGAAAGCGTACTGCTCAGACAATATTTCATCGGTTGTCTTGGTGTCAACGGCAACAGTACGAAAGAAGTGAATCCCACGAAACACGATTGCACGGATATGCGGCATTTCCAGCGCTCGTATATCGCATATATCTACACCTGTCGGTGATGGTGAAGTGTTAAGAAACCGTAATAATAAAAAATACGTCGTTTACAGTTTGGTTCTATGAAGCAGGTTTACTATTCACAAAGGGTTGCTACGTCAGCAAAGTTCGTAGATAAAAGCGAACCAGCTAACTGGGGCAACAAACGTGATATTACCGAGAGTGGCTGACCAATAATAAAAAAATCGCTGTCAACGCACTCTGTACAGACGGCTTACTGGCGAATCTGAAACGCGCAGCTTCTGTGTGTGTCAATATGTTTATTTCGGTATTTTATCAGAATCTGCCAATTATATGTTACATCTATCCAGAAATCTTGATTGACGTTTGTCGCTTGGGTGCTCCCTTCTATATAATAATAATAATAATAATAATAATAATAATAATAATAATAATAATAATAATAATAATAATAATAATAATAATAATAATAATAATAATAATTGTTGTTGGTGGTGGTGTTGTTTTGGGGGTTCAACGTTCCGAAACCACGATATGACTGAGGAACACCGTAACGGTGGGCTACGGAAATTTCGACAACCTGGGACTCTTTACCATGCACCTAAATCTGAGCACACGGGCCCCTGAAGGACTCTCACCTCTACCGAAAATGCTGCTGCCACAGCCATCTGGCATTCGACCTACGCGTCAGCAGTCGAGCCCCATATCCATTACATAATTACGGCAAGTCATGTGTTCCCTTCCTGCCTAGTAATCTAGTGGTGAGTGGTTCAATTTATCCCGTTTCTAGTGGGCTAGTGGCGAGTTGCGAGACACCAAACTTCTGTAGCACAGACGACCTACGAATTTTCACGCGCACAGGCCAGTCGAATTCACGTTTTGCCTGCCCATACACAGCTTCAACGTAAAGGAAGTTCTGAAGAAAAAAACTTGGCGATTTTGAACCCTTGTCTATTTGGCGAAGATACAGTGTGGTTGCAGTGTCCTGTCTTGAGGCGCCGACGCTAACTGCAACGACTTAGCAAAGAAAGCAACAGATAAACATAGTATAACTCGCGGTGCATCTCGTGTATTTGTATTTTTTTTCTTCTTTCGGCAGAACGCAAGAGATGAAAATGCTGCTAGAGAGTTTGAGTGAACGCCAATGTCGCAATTTTATGAATTCCCATCAACCGCCTTAAAGACTTGCGAAAATGCCCGCACATCTTATGTTGTCAAACTAATCTTTTGGGTTGCAGTGAAGCGCACTTGAGCCGCGCCATCGTCGAGCCTATCATCACGTGGGGCACGCTCCCAACGTGTCGAGTGTGCAAAAAAAATACAAAAAAACATAACTGTCGTAGGTGCCGTCAGCTGCCCAACATGACTTAACGATTGCACAAGGAATCAGCATTTTGTGCAAGCATGCAAGTTTATTTCTTGATTCCCGCCGCATTTCCGGAAATTCTAGCAAGGTTGCAACGATGGATGTCACGAAGTTCAACCTAAGACACTTGCAGATAACTACTTTTTTTTTATCGGCCGCCCCGAGCACCGATGGTTACCAAACTGAGGAGGTCATGCCCACGATAACGGGGCCCAAACAATCGCGAATCGCAGCCATGCTTACATTCAGAAGGTGAAGGAACCACCGCCGGTTCTCGATGTTTACCAGTACACGTGTTGAAGCTCATTTTTCCCATACTAATTATCCAACTCAGCGATATTCAGGAGGACGACTGTCTGCGATTCAGGCCGATGCCTATCGGGGCGATCCCGCATGAGGCCTCGCCCATCGAATCCACACGTGCAACGTGGCTCAGAGGCTGGCATCGGTGTCTGTGTAGTAGTTTACAGCCATCGGTAAAACCAGAACGTTTAGTCGACCGGAGTAGATGGTCGTAGACTCACCATTTTCCGCCGCTTTTGTCTCGCCAGCCTCTTCGACGCGCGGAGTATCCTGAGTGGTCACTACCGTGGGAACCACGAGGCTGCCACCGTCGTTCTCGCACAGGACGGCGACCGCAAGTGCGAGCACCACCAGCAACGCGGCGAGGACTCCGCACGGGAAGCGCATTGCCTTCTCTGCTACAGCGACGGCCAACGCACCGTCTCCTCGTGGCACGTGTATATCCACCTCAGGAAACAGTGGAGAAGCGCGCACCCTCCAGAAGACACACACGGAGAGCACAAGGCGCGGCTCAGATCTGGCGTTGCTGCGGACCGCGGCTGCGCAACGCACGAGCGGAGCGCGCGTACTGTGACGCCGCTGCTGTGCGCTTTCTTTCTTCGCAGGCGCCTGCCAAGAGCGCCCCACTACGAGCACGTGGTTCGCGCGCGGTCGATTGACGGCGGCAGAGCGCCCGAACAGCGCCGCCGATCGCGACGCTGCGCCGCCTTTCGGTAGCCTCGGCAAGTGGAGAGTGAAGCCCCGTCCGCTCACACGCACGCACGTACGCACCCTCTTCCTATTTGCTTTATTGCTGCTGTTGCGGTTGCTTTCTCCTCGCGGCAGAAAGATGAGAGCGCTCATCTTTCCGTCTCGCGCGGTGCACGCTCTTGCTCTTCACTCCGACGTTGCTCCTCCTCCTCCGGGATGCGAGAGCGCCGAGAGGGAGGTGTTTTACGGAGAGGCTGCTGCTGCTGTCACTAAGGAGAAGCGTGCTTTACGGGGACGAAAACCATGGCCGGCGTGTTCAACTAAGAATTCAATATCCAAATCGGTGGTGTATGAATGTATGTGATGCGTGAATGAATCGGTAAAACGCGCACGCACTTTATATAGCTGATGAAAAGAAAAGGAGGAATTAATAAATACAAACACTGACTTCCGACTATTTATGACTTTACAACAAAGGCACAAAGATAAGCGCCAATGCATATGCTTGAAAATGCAAATGCTTATTCAGTCGTTTCCTCACAAAATATTGAGTCAATCGACACAATTTGAGAGCTTGGTACCTCACCGGATGCGCCTCATGAGTAAGAATGATAGTCACGAGTATTGTTATCAATTATTTAGACATCGAAATGAGGCTAGAAGGCTCGTAATAGATGCAGGAGGGATTGGAGGAAAGGGGGCGATCAGCAAACCATAAGTCATCCTTTCGAGCATAGGATAACTTAATATTATTTTAATAAGTTATTTGTCCATCGCACATGTGCGCGCTGAAATATATCATGGATCCACACCAGCTAGTCCGGTGCCATAGTTTCCTCCATCGGACCAGCCAAGTCACGATCACTATTTGCCCATCTCTAATATTGATTATTGTTGATTTAATTCTGCCTACTTATGTCAGTGTGAACATCCTCTAAAGTTCTTCCTAGACGACTGCATTCCGAAGTGACAATGCATCTCATTGCCAAGACTACAGACTAATGCGATAATACTGAGCCCCCATCAACAGAGGCTGCGAAAGCACAACGATGTGACGTCTGCAGCGATCAACGGGTTCGTTTATTTACCAGTAAGTAATCAGATACGTTATAAGTCCGGTATCTTAGATGCTAAGTATCGCATGGTCATGCTCAATTCAGTCTATGGCGTGACTACCCTTGTTGAGCATTGACGTCCCCCCTCTCTTTGCAACGTTGACGCAAGCAGCGTCTAAAGATAGTTTTTCATCACTGTTGAATTGGAGTCTGCTTGTACAGAGTGACGACGAAAAAACAGCGCTGAACTAATGGCGACACAAAAAGAGGACACGCAGCACTGGCGCTAACTTCCCAAAGAATGTTTTATTTTATTACCACATTCACTTATATTGCCCGAGGAAAGGCATCAAATTACATATGATCACAAAAAAATCAGTTTCTCAAAAACCCAATGATGAAGGGTATCTCTTCCTTGGGTACCATGTGCATCAGCCGTCTGTCTCTTATCCTGGGGGAAAAAGAGTTGTCATTTCTAATGGAGTATCTTAGTGCTCAAATGTGACGCCTTTCCTCGGGCAATGTAAGTAAGCGAGTGGGTAATAAAACATCGTCGGAAGTTCATTCGGAGGTATTGTGCCCTTGTTTATTCGGAGGTATTATATCATAGTTAGTAGTTTTCATTAGGAGCCAGTTTCCAAACCGAGTTTGAATGTGCCGTTCATGTGCTTTCTGCCAACTGTTTACATTAAGTCTGCATAATATTAACAAAACAGGCACCCACCGATTTTCTGTATTAGCCAACGTAATGTTATTATAAAATGTAACTCGTATGTTGTTTTAAACGCAACTATCGCAAGGCAAGCAAAACAAACTTCATTTACATTTTATTTAAGCGCTGTATTTATAAGGCCAAGAGATAGGTATCCAACGTGAACAAAATGGCTACATACACACCCTTTGCTATACTATATGCCTTACAAGAGAAGTACAGTACGCACGGATTGGCATGCGACTGTGGTAGCAAGCTGGCGAAGGCAAGCTGTTGCATTGTGCAACAGCGCAAGGGTGAGAGTGTTTGTGACACATAATGACTGATAGTGGTCACGCAGGAGCCATTCTGCTGTTCGCCGTAGCGCTAGCAGTGCAATGCCATGTTGGCACGCTTTTCTAAGCTTATGGAAATGAATGTGTGCTTTGCCACGTCAAGCACGTTAAGTTTGCAAAGCACCGTTGGCAATACAGTGAACAACAGCACAGCTTATTTGTTAACGGCAGGCTTAATCATGCGTCAAGAACACTGAAACTCTTGCAGCTTCTGCTCTACCACTATTCTACATGTTGCTTTAAGCACAGGCGAGTGCAAGTTCGCACATCACCCGCTCATTGTGCCAAGGGTCACGCAGCACCACTGTCGGGTGGCCATTCCATGAGTACCGGACAAGGTCGTAAAGTGTACAAAATATGTAAATTCTTGCGTCATATCACGTGTCAAAACCTGAAGTTTTTTAGCCTGTGCCTATACTTGGATACCAACGTTTACTTCTATTTCCCGCAAACAAACAATGCAACTGTCATGGCCATGAACGGAACCCGCGTCTTCTGGCTTAGCAGCACAACATCTGAGCCTAAGCCAAGCTGTCATGGCGGAGGACCACGCAGTAGGCAGACCGGAAAGCACTAGTTTCGGGAGTCTGGGTCACCTACACGCGTTGTAAAGAAACATCCAGCGGGAAGCTAGAATCGACAGAGCTGCCCATAGATCATCCTTCGTGGGCTTGATTGGGGAGCGCAACATGGTCGCTAGGGACGGCTCGGGTAGACGCGCAACCAAAGAGCAGTGCAAAATCGAGAAGAAAAAGCAAGTGATCTAACAAAGACCAGGAAAACGGGTAGCAGGCAGGCAGGCAGCGAAAATACGCAACGTAGAAGCTACACAGGGTAGACGGATGAAGTGTAACGGAAACAGGCACGGGCGCCTCTGGAATACAGGCCCACGGCAAACACACGTTTTCTTTTTTTTTTTTTACACAACGGCACGCCGTAAGCCCAGGAAGGAAACAAAAAACAAAAAAAGAAAACTTGCAGCAGAACTTATCAGGATGAGGAGTAGGTAATGAACGTTTATTTGACGACATGGAGTATAGTGGTGCGAGTAACGCTTCTACCCTGGGTGGAAGGTCTCCTCATTTGAGGAACTCTCTGGACTTAGCTGCCTCCTTGGCCCTGACGACGAGACGTCATTGTTGGTCAAAGTCCTTCAAGGCGTGATTGGCTTCCCCCGTGTCGGGGAGGTATTTGTTTGCTAAACCCGCTTCGCACGTATTCGGTGAAAGCGATGTGTCTGTGTGTATACTGCGTGGGCACGCAGAAATTACGTAGGCCAAGGTGGCAGGTACACCTCGAATTGGGCAAAGATATTCATGTAACGTTGGGTACAGTCTGTCCATTAGTACAACGTGCGTGTAAGTGTTGCTCTGTATGGTGCTGTCGTTTTTGCTGAGCTTCGAATTAGTTGCAGGGTGCTCTGCGTGCCACCCCCCGATGTTGCAGCATTCCAGAGAAGGTAACGGGCGCGGACTCAAGCTCCGCGGACGCAGTACTGGCGTCTCGGGAGTAGGAAGGGATAGCCCGGCATGCGTCACCATCACGGGCCGCAGCGTGTGGTGCCTCGTTCCCCTGCAGCCACCCGTGCACAGGATCCCATGCCGCACAGGTGTACGGTATCAGGGTGTTTCGGTGCTTAAATATCTTGAGTGCTTTGGTAGATACACGCCTTTGGAGTAGTTTTGAAAGGCTGCTTGCGAATCTGTAAAGACCACAGCCGCATCTAAGCACGTGGTGGTAGCGAGTGCAGTTGCTGGCTCTTCTGCAGCTCTCGGCTTCAGGCGCAAAATGTGACAAATGCGAGCTCTATGCCCTGGGAATCAACGATGCCCACAGTGTAGGGGTCTCTACTAGGCTACTTGGCTACGTCTGTACATCCGGCATTCCTGTCTTGGCGGTGATTTTGCCGTTGAACCTTCACTCGTGCTTCCCTTGTTTCCTTGTGATACGTGGGGTGCATGTTGCGGGGAGTTCGTGCAATGCAGAAACATTCGCGGATGTTTGGAGGAATAGCTTCCTTTCGGTCCGTGTTCATGTCGGCTATTAGGTATCACCATGGCTCAGCCGTCAAAGTACTGATCTTCCAGTGGGCGAGAGCTTCAGCCGTTCTAGTTGACTAGCCTTGTGTGCTTCGGCTTGTTTCTGCCATGACTGTGCACGCCCACCTTCAGAAGTATTTTCTCAGCGGAAGCCCTAAATGGGAGTTGCGATTTTGGTTACCTTATGAGTTATGATAGTTTCTCTACGAATGCATTCTTCAGCACTAAATAGGGAGTGCCATAAATTATTCTACCGTTGAAAAGAGCTTGCAGAGTGATTGCTTGCACAAGAGATCGACACGGGTTGAAAAGTTGATAGTTTAGATTTGCTTGTTTATTTTAGATTTGTGCACATACCACACACTATCACGAATGTGAACTTTGTTTTTTTTAATAACTGCATAGTTTATGAGAAAAAAAGTATTTAACCTATTTTGTACAAAGAAACCAATTTCGTCCCTGGTCAGTTTTTAAGTTAATGACGATATAAAAACATAAATATTAGCTTGATGAATAATATTTCTTTTCTAGAAAATGTACGCGTAATGAACAGTGAAGCAGCGTTGTTTGAAGCTTGCATGTTGAAGCAAAATGTTTCTGAAAAATGTCTGGACAGGTGACATTTTTCAAACGTTGCTTGATCTGAGATCTTTGTTCTCCTAAGCTGAACCAGCTAGTGCTTCACAACTTAGACACCTATTACATAATAATGTTTACAATATTGCTTGTCAAAACCATTGCTGTGCCTCAAACACACA